CCGGACGAACAGACATGTCGAGATGGGCGCTTGAGTGTCGACTGCAACTTTCGCCTCCAACTCTTGTTGGCCCTGACGTTAATCCTGGTTTGCCGACGCCTGCTTTGAGCGAGGCGAGTTGATTTAGACTTTCCAACAGCAGCGTGTCGCGTACCGCCTCCAGGTCTTTGCCATGCTTGCAGCACATGAAGCGCCTTGTCTCACGGCGGAGGTCTGGCCTCGCTTTCTTCTTTGGCCATGTTTCGGCCGAGGGGCTCTGCGCAAAGAAAGACAAATGCCTTTATGTTATGATGTTGCCCCTGACGGCCGTCTTATGACCGTCTGACTCTCTCAATTGTTGGGATTGTGGTAATTCCAATTTGCGTTTTGACGCGTCGCCGCACTGACGCACAGTCACTGACAGCTCCCTCCTCCTCCTGCGCCATACCACCGGACGGAACGTCTCGCGAGGGAATCGTAAGCGTCAAGCACGCCTGTCCAATTCGTCCAAAATCCCAAAGCCCGGCCATCGTACGGGACAGGAGGTCGCCAGGTCGGCATCCTCTGGGGCTTTGTGGGTATCACCAGGTGCTGCTATTGACAGGGCCAATTCTTAATCATGTGGTCAAAGTATCCCGGTCACGGCCTTGGCCCCTTCAGGTCGTTAATCTCACCATTGATGGACAATCGTGGGAAGCGAAATGCGGTCCATCGATTCCACAGGGACCCCGGGTCGAACCATTGGAATCTTGTCTTCCAAAAGAGAGAATATCGACAAAAGAAGAGGCAATGTTTGCCAGCGCTTGAACCACCAGTTCCCCGATGGCAGACAAGTTCAGTCACAGTTCCTTTGTTCGTCGCTGCATAATTTGACAGCTGCAAACTATTGGCTTGAGGATTGATGGTGCAGTCGCACGTCCCCTGTCTCAATATGTTTGTCGGTTGAGGCGCTCTGGCGTGGCCTATGAAGCATGACACGCTCCTGAAGGAACTGTGCGTCCAATTTTGTTTTCTCGGGGACGTTGTGTTTGACACCATTTCCCTGTTTCTCCAAAGCTGAAGGCCCTCTGGCAACCTGGGATGCCCTCGGTTGCGCTTGGTGTCCAGCTCGTGATGGAGGTGTACACGGACGCCAAGTCAGCCGAATACATCATCAAGCATGGAAGGGCCATCTTGGAGGGTGGAGGTTGGCTTCGCCGCTTGCGTGCAGCCCCCGAGTGCCAACGACCATGTCGGCACAAGGTCAATCCCACTCTGCGCTTCCAAATGCTTTTGCCAAAGTGGGTGAAGCCAAGCTGTCATCACCTTGCGGTGCCCCAGTTGACGGCGATCTATCTGAGCTGGTCGCTTTCCCAGCACTATTGGGATGCGATTTGCAGGCTTTGGGGCCTTATTGATGAAAAGCTCAATATCGAAATCTTGATCGTGGAGTCTTCAGGGCAGATATGGGACGGATCGTCACAAACCTCGTCCGACTCTTCAAGGTGCGATGACGGCAGCCAAAGGGGTCTGTGAACCGTGGGACGCACTGCCGTGATGTCCGTGTGCGTCCAAAGACGAATGGCCTCCTGTCGATAATGGCGCTTAACCCAATGTAGCCGCCGGTTTCTCGACCAAAAAGGAGGCTTGTTCGCAAAGATCCGACGACATGGACCGCCCACATGGAAACGCTGGACGAAGCCAGTCAGCGACCATCACAAAAGCAATTGTGAGCCCCAAGAACAAGAACGGAATACAATCCGTTTGCTTTTGTCGTTTCGTTGCCCCTCCCACTCAACCCCAAACAAAACACTTTGGAGGGAAGGTGACGATACGCCACGAGTCATGGGGAGCTGCACTGTTGGACTGCCTCCATCGCCAACGGCGCGCCGCCAGCACAATGGATGGTCGATCGGGAACTTGCTTTTCCGCCCCCATCATCCTTAGCACAAACTGGCAAACAGCCCTCTTGAGATGGTGGCTACGGTTAGAATTGCTTTTGGTGGGTACGGGCGAAGTCCGCTGTTTCTCGCGGTTGAGTTTCGTGGGCGATTGTAATTACTCCCAAGTCCTGAGCAAGCATCTCAGCCACGCCGTCGTCTCCCAGGCTATTTTCGCAACAGCAACAAAGTCAGTGGCTTCTCAAGTGGGCGGTGGGCACGTAAGTGATCCAATGGTCTAGCCCCCGTTCAGAGAGACATTCCAGAATACGTGGAGCAGTCGTAAGGCCCAGGTGGTCGACTGGGTTCCGGGGGCGTTCGTGACCACCTACTGTGGATTGCCCCCCGTCTCTTTCGCAATGGTGCTGGGTTCGGAAAGGGCGGGATCGCAGTGCGAGACGGGAAAGCCATACCCAGGTAAGGCATCGAGCGACAAGCTGAGCTGGCGAGAGATGAGCAGGGCGGGTCGTCGGTCTTCGTGCGTAACGATGCCAACAACCCTGTGGCTCTGCTGAGCAGAGCGTTTGCGTAGGCACCATACCACGCTGTGCTGCCACCAGTCCTTGGCTGCTAAGGCTCTCTCGGTTCAACATCAGCATCGTCTCTCCCAAGAAGGGTGGATCACCCGAGGTTGGCAAGTTGGCTGTCCCGCATCAGGCCGTTTCAAAAGACAGGTCGCCCACTACGTCCGATGCAGGGTCAGAACAGGCTGACAGGTCACTATTCCGCTGGGGAACTCTGAGACAGAGCCAGGACGGAAGCGGATAGCGAGACCATTCTTCGCCGCTCGGGGGAGCATTGCCCTAACGGCTAAAGCCTAGCAGAGGTCCCTGACAATTATGCCCTTGGTGATTGTTGAGGAAACAAGGCTAACAATGGTCTGGTTGTCGAGCAATGGGGCGCGGCCAGCCGACCGGCCGGTGGTGAAGCTATTGCCAACAAGTGCAGGGACTATGGCACCGGCGCGGGAAAAGTCTGCAAATCCGAGCTGAAGATGGCATTGAGTGCTGAATTCCCGGAGGACAAAACCCCCCAAAGCGCTCCTTTCCAAGAACCAAGGTCGACCGACAATGGTGAATGATGGCTGTGAGCCCGGGGTTGTAGTGAATGGCGTCGCTGATCATCCCCGATGAGACGGTGGAAGACTGCCATCTCCCATATGAGGCAAAGACTCCCCCACACTTCTTCAGGGGCCCCAGCGATTGCCTGCAGAGATCATTCATTGGAAACCTTGCAGAGCATTCACGAGCTTCAGTTGACGGCCAGGGTCAAGTTTCGTACGTTGCCCCCCCTGCTGGGACGCCGCTGTCAGATTGATTAAAGAGACATATGGCAGTGATTGCGAGTGCTGTATCTGTATCGTGGTGGCCCTCATTCTTGCACAGGCCGAGGAGAGTCAAGCTCGCGTTGTCTTGAGTCGTTCGGGTTGTGGCTCCCTGGATACTTCCGTTCCGCGTCTTGCCCGTCCGTCCCATGTGGCTTCGTTGTCCGTTCCACGGGTCAAGATTGCAACCTATGCGTCGTCGTCTTTCTGAGAAACCCAACTCATAATTCAGGGGTGTATGTGTCTGTCCGCCGACGACCCCTGCCTTAGCTCCGGGTGTCGTTGAGCGCGGCGGGAGCAACTAAGAAAGTTGAGTGCCAGGCCGAGGACTGACCACTGAGGGCGACGTTGGCAGGTCGGTCTTTGCAGTAAAATGGGTGTTCGCGGGCTGTCCGACCTGCTCTTTTGCATTCCCACCGTCTCGTGTGGCTTGCAGGGATTAGGTGCGGTGGACGGCTAAGATCCATGCAGAATCTGGACGGCTTCCCACCCTAATCACCTGCAAGTCAGGCAGTCCCCAGCAAGGAAGGGAGGTGTGAGCAGGCCAGAGTGGATGACTTTAGAGTAGAGGGTGCGGTATGTAAGGTTCAGGTGGCCATCGCGGCCGGCACGTCAAAGTGCTTGTAGGCCACTTTTCCAGTCGTTCCCCCCCATATCATAGTCGCTATCCCCTCCAGCAGCCGGCACATGCTCCTGGATGAAAGGGCCTGCTTGCTTGCTTCTTGGATCCTTCCTCCCTCTTTCACTCCAAGGTTTATGCTGATGTTCGACACGTGGAGGAGAGGATTGTACGGATAACGAACGGAGTGCGAGAGACTGTCTGGACCGGACCGAGCTGGAAATTGAGCCAGTGGAGACGCAAACGGGAGTTTGGCTGATTCTACCCCCCCTTTGGTGCTTCGTATGACGGCCGTCGCCTCATTTCATTTCGTCGCTGTCGGAGGAAGCATCTGTCGGGAGAATTTGCTCTCAGCTGTGCAACCGATATTGTTTTTCCTGTCAACGACGTCGTACGGGGGCCGAATCGCAATCTGCAGCGCCGACACCTCTGAACTTTCACAAACGAGCAACGCAACGGATGGAGTTTTCTGGCTGGCTGGACCTAGAGAACCGCATGCATCGATAGCCGCGGTTGTCAACCTGCTTTGACAAGGTAGTTCCCTTTTGCAAAGACGGGCTCTCCCATATGAATTCCCTGGGCCACCCACGCATGAGCAGAACTTTTTCTCCATGCGCCGCGCGCTTCCTCTCATGCTTCCAAAGCTGAGCTGAGCTGACCAACTGGACAGAGCTCCCCTCGCCCCATCTAGCTCGTCAAGATGGGCCGATCAAAATTCACATTTCCTGTTCCGGGGAGGAAACAGAAGCCGCCCTTCGGACCGATCGTATCAGGGCCGATGTCGAAAGCCCAGAAAATCCTGGGAACCGCCGAGATCAACATCGACGCACCGCGGCAATGGGATAACGCATCGAATTCCGGAATCAGCGTTTCCGTATCTGAGAGCACCGCAACGTATCATCCAACCGAGAGAGGTCGCCATAATGAAGAGGAGGCTTTCAGCGGGAATCATCGCAGAAATATGCAATGGGAACAGGAGTCTGAGATTGTACCGGCGTATCTGACGAATCGGTTTTCGCAATTGAACACAGATGCTGGCCCAAGAGAGTTCACCGAGACATCGAGCCTCACCCGCCGAGGATCCAGCTCGACGATTACTTCATGGTACGACAAGTCGAAAATGCCTTTGTCAATATCTCAGCAAACTTCCTCGTCAGCGATGGCCAAAGGACTGCCCCAAAAAGCGAACGAGCTGCTGGATATTGAAGGACAAAACTCGGTGGCGCCACTGGCGCTATCAAACTCGAAGCCGAAGAAGAAGCCAAGCAGACTGGATCTGGGGCCATTGCTGTCCCGGCACAAACACCACAGCCTGAGCCTCAAGAGTCGTGACAGCAACCGAGGGAGTCCAGTGCTCGGGCCAGACCATGTTACCAAGTCCCCATCTCTTGCCTCCCTCACCTCCCCAAAATCAACACCACCGCCCATTCAGCAGCGGACGGAGAAGAAGCTGGTAAGACGGAGCACATACGAGCGTATGGTTGAGAACTTGTCATCAGGTCGCCCAAGAACGGGGTCAAGTAGCCGACGAGGCGCCAACGATATTAGCACACTGCCCAATCTGTACGAGCATTATGAGCAGATGTCGTTTGACCAGGTGCTGGGCCACGATGGGCCTCTCGCAAAATCGGATCAGACCATGACCAGAAATGGTCCCACACAACTGAGATCACCACCCACAACAGACCAGAGGCAGAGTGTCATGAGACCCGGAGTTCGCCCGCACCAGGCTCCGCCACCACAGGTTGCTCACGTCGTTGCGCCGAGTGTCCCAAACCCGCCCATCCCACAGATGACAATGGCAGATCGCGATTGCGCATCCAGCGTTTCGAGCCGCTATACCAAGACGTCCAAAGCGTCAAAACGAACCAGCCGGAGTATTGGTGGATCGGATTTGATGGAGAAGAGCGTGCTCTCGTTGTCGTCCGACTCTGAAGATGACTTCTTCCCTGACTCCATCTCGAAATCCACTGGCGAATCTCAGAGCAGTGATGCTGGTAGTCTGGCTCCCTCATCGCTGAAGTCGTTCCGATCTCGCGACGCGCCCTCTCTTTCTCACAGCTCCAGAAAGTCTGTCAAGCACGCAAGTTTTGCTCCGACCAATACGTATCTCACTATACCCGCCAAATCGCCTCCATCCAAGGCCCCAAGCCCCAGTGCGCGAATGAGCTCTCTTCCGCCCACACGATACCAGCCGCCAGCGCCTTCCAATCGCTCATCGTTGTACTCTACGAAGTCAACATCGACGACGAACTCCGGCAGCGATCGACAAGGCCCTCGGTCAGTTTACAGCTCTCAAGAGTCACGAGGCGCCGCTGCCATGCCTGCCAAGCAGCCTCTTCCAAAGCCCGAAAGAGTGGTCGAAACACCGCAGCGTATGCTGTCAACAAAGTCATCAACACATTCTGTCGACCAGCCGACTCCTCCACTAAGTCCCACGTCCGTAGAGACTTTCAGCACGTCGACTGAATCTATCGATGCTCAAGGTGGATCGGATTCGAGATTTATGGCCGTAACTCGGCAAGAAGAGATGCTCCTTGCTGCTCTTCGCATGAAGCGAGCACGTATGCGCGAATCAGTCCTCGCAGAATACGAGGACGAGGCGCAATATGGTACGCAGTACCACCACCAACGTAACTCATCGCAGAACACCATCAAGGAAATGCAATGGCCCGAGCCTCCTCAGACTCTGCGTCATCAGACTTCCACCACGTCCAGCAGCACGATCAAGGCGGGCTCGCATACACCGTCCGAAGGGCGTCCGGGGTCATTGGCCGGCGGACGAAACCACAGTCGAAGTAACTCTCGACACCTCGATTTGCCGCTTTCCTCGTCACGAAACGGATCCCTGCCGTCGTCACGGGCAAGCAGCTTAAGGAGGTCCAGAGTGGCCCAGGAGATGCCGCAGTCAGAGGCGAAGCATGAGCGAATTCTGCTGTACCTGGACCGACCTGTCGGCAACGTCAACTCGATGGATTTTGCCGAACCGAGCCCAGACCTGAGTGACTTCATGGATTTTGACAACGGTAGTGAAGAGGAGGAGGAACCGTCAATGTTTCGGCCACGCCTTCAGGGGTTTGGCGTGCCAAACAAGGGGCGAGGACGTATGCTGAGGACGAGCGAGCGGGGACGTCACGACTCTTCCCCTTTGAGACCTCGCAACCTCGCAGAAGTTCCGGGGCAGATCCACGTGGTTGAGTCTGAGAGCGATCTCGAGCCGATGGCCGGGATCCCGAGACCAGACTCTCCTGTCTCACCCGAAGGGACGCTTCCCCTGCCGAACCATGGGCTGTCGAAGAAGAAGGCCGTTCGGCTGAGTGCCGTCGGCAACGCTGGTGGTGTCGAAGCCGGCTGGTGGGGAGATGATGGTTGATGGCTGAAACGAGGGAACAGAAGCTTGCCGCACATGGTTCGGATAATCTCTTCTTGATACCCTGCACATGACTAATTTTCTTTGTTAATGATCGATCTTGTACAAATCTTGGACTGGATACAGGAGGCGTGGTGTTTCTGGTTTGGAGCGGGAAAGGGTAATCCTCATTCGGAATGAAGCGGGAGGATGTTTGCATGAGCCATCGTCTGTTTTTTTGCGTGCTTTATTCTTTCCCCTTACTTGCTCCGCAAACGGAGCCGAAGGCATAACGCTTGAGTCGTTTCGTTGACCTGTAATATTATTACAAGACATGCTTGATGGCGGCATAATGTTTTTGGATGGAACAAATGACGGACGTTGAAGTCGAAGGGAAAGGAGGTTAAGGAAAGTTCAGAGAGACTTTTGGGAAGGTGCCTTAGACTCCCACCATCCTTCCATATATACCAACAATCCATTACATTATGAACATTTCCTTCCGGCAATTGTCCAATCGCCACCTGACAACAGTCAAGCCTTCTCTGCTGTGCTCAGTTTTATGTGCCCTTCATTGTCGTATTACCCATTGGCCCACGAGACAATAGCATCACACCCCTGCATTGCCACACATTTGAGAAAGTGAACCACAAGCAAACTTGAATTCATGCTTTGCGAGGGCATTTCCCGCCCGTCACTGAATTGAGTGAGATAAAGTACTAGTACATATTGTCACATCCGGTGGTTTTCCCCGTTTAGTGATCCATCAACGCCGGCTCCATCCTCCATAATCATTTCTGTCCAGCTGCCTCATCAAAGGTATCAAGTACAGTGTCCTTCAGATCCTTATCCTCGTTGCCCTCAGACTCTTGCGACTCGTGGTTGACGACCTGCTTCGCCATTGTCCTGGCCTGCGCCTCACCAACCTTGCCGTAAACACTGAGACCGGTGGCAATCATGCCGCCGATGTCACCCACGTTGCCAGGAACAACAACAGCCGTGCTCTCCTTGGCCAACTTGGCAAAGGCGTCCACGTACTTCTCAGCGACGGACAAGCTTACGGCGCCCTTGGCCGCATCCTCGCCATCAGCAATGCTCTTTGCAATAGCATCGATACCAGCTGCCGTGGCCTTGGCCTTCATGAGGATGGCCTCGGCCTCACCGGACGCCCTGTTGATCTGCTCGGAGCGCATGGCCTCGGAAGCGAGAATCACACTCTGCTTCTTACCCTCGGCGATGTTGATAGCGGACTGGCGCTGACCTTCGGAGTCCAGAATCTCGGCTCGCTTCGATCGCTCAGCAGTGACCTGTCGGTGCATGGCTTCAACGACGCCAGCCGGTGCGTGGATGTCACGAATCTCGTATCGCAGACATGTGACGCCCCAAGCCTGAGCTGCCTCGTTAATGGCTTGGGTGATGTTGGTGTTGAGAGCTGCGCGCTCCTTGAGGACGTGGTCGAGGGTCAGTTGACCGATCTCGGATCGCATTGTGGTCTGCGCCAGCTGGGAGATGGCGTATTCGGCATCTTCGACCCCATAACTGCCAGACAGTCAGATCAGTAAGGGTGTCTCTGAAGAAAGGAGTCGAGACGTATGGGAAGTAGCGTACCTGGCCTTGTAGGCGTCAAAGACGCGCGTGTAGAGAACACCGTCCAGCTCAAGGGTGACGTTGTCGGCGGTGATGGCGCTTTGGCTGGGTATTTCGATGGCGATTTCCTTCAGTGACTTGACATAGGAAATGCGATCGATGAAGGGAACGAGAATAGCCAGACCGGGTTCGAGGATGCGGTTGAACTTTCCCATGCGCTCGACGATCCATGCCGTCTGCTGAGGGACGAAGCGGATGACGGTGTTTGCGGGGAGGGAAGGCTTCTGGAAGTAGGATGGAGGAATGCTGGAACCGATGCCGAAGCTCGAGGGGAGCAGACTCTTGGTGCTCGTCTGAAAGCTGCGCGACTGCGCGAATGCCCGCCGCAGAGGCGGGGAGAGGACCGCCTTGGTTACCGCCGAAGCCATCTTTGCTGCTGCAGCATTGGCCTAAGGTCGAATTGGACTGCGTGGATCACAAATGGAGGTTGCAAGCTCCGGGGGGGCCAGCTCTCTCATCAGCTAAGGTAAGCACCGTGGGCCGTGGGTCGTTGGTCGGCGCTGCGGAAACAAGACGAGAAAAAAAAAAAAAAAAAGACCACTGCATTCCATTGATGACGGAGGCGGCAGCTGCCTGCCGACATTTAGCCGGCGGAAGGGGCCGAGGCCCGCCAGAGAGGTGGGTGTGATGCTCCCGTCCACGCAAACGCTCAAGTGCGAGCGACTCAGGACGTGATTCAAGGAATGGCTTCCCGGAATGAAGTATGCAACCTTCTGCTACGCCAATGCACAGGGAATATGCCACGACAGTACCAGAAGGATGGGTTAGTTTCTTCGTCAACTATGGCAGCCTGCTCCAATGCATGGATTTACACTTGCAGCAGAATTCGCTGCCAGACGTACATGCTTCGATAAGTCTACATAGTTCCATCACTCTGACATCGCATGTAATAAGCTGGCTTGCCTGACCGACCAGGTGTGAAAGGCGTCAAGCAACGAGGGTTCCAGTACAAGCGCCAGACGGGCGGTAAAGGACCAATGACAAGTGGCGCCTTGCATCAACGCAAGTCAGGCCATGCGAATTTCAGGGCGATTTCACTTGGGATGAAAACACAAGGTAGATATGGCAAGATGGTAAAGGCACGTGTGTCCGGTCCTTCAGCCCCTAAACTTACCTGGAATTCACCGGCACATTCATATCAGTACGGCAGTAACACCTCGTCTGCCGTTGCTCTCTGAGCAAAACAAATCGAAAGCAAGGATTGAGTCTTGAGGAAAAAGTCGTCATCATTGAGCCATACTACCCATGCCATGTGTATCGAGAATCAGCCTACCCAGCCCATCCGTACCTTCTTTCGCGCACTCCAGAAATCATAAAATCGGGCTACTGGTATACGGAGCCTTCGGGAGGCTGAGGGATCTTCTTGTTGGCAGGAGCAGCCATGTATCTGGAACTGTGTCAGTAATGCCTCGGAGATTTCCACACCCTGTGTGCAGACGCACCTTCTGAGCTCGATCAGGATGGTCTCCATAGTGTTGTCTCTCTTCCAGCCGGCAAGGCAAGGCAACTGCTTGGGGTCGACGACGCCATTGCGAGGGTTCACGCAAGGCAGGTTGACCTGGCTAACAAACTGTATCGTGGGAGGCTCATCGGGGTAGTTAGGACCGCAGTGCATCTTGAGGGAGTAGATTCGGTTCTCGTGGACGCTCTGTCGAAGGGTTGTCAGACGCTGTCTTGTATGCGACGGGGTTTCAGGGGTTTACTAACGTGAGGGGGCCCCAGAATGGTGCCGTTCCAGTCGGACATGAGAAGGTCCTCGGCATCATTAAGACCGTAGGAGCAAGCCTCTGCAAGTTGGGGGGTCAGTCAGAATGCGCGGGGCAACTGGGAACGATCACACGGATTGCAAGTACCTGCTCCGAGACCCTTCTCGCCCTTCTCGAGCTCCTCGAGGAGTCTAAAGTTGCGCGGGACCTTTGCGCCCATGATTGCTGGTGTACAGATGTCGTGGGGAGGACGGTTGGTGTAGGATGAAAAAGAACGTAGAGTACGATGGCCTTGATGGAGGGGTTACAAAGTGGGAGGGAGACACTGGACCTGAAATGCACTGGATGGAGCGAGCGTGAGAGAGGCCCGGCCTTACCTAACTGTCGGGTAGGTAGACCCGCAAGCGGTGTCTGGCTGTCGTATTCACACTGGACCGACCTTCTTAGCGGCCTAGCTGAGAGACACAGCAGCGCCTGTACCTGAAGGGCACCAATGCTGCTGGCAAACAGCGCCTGAGGTCAGCTTACCTTAGTTGCCGGACGCACGAGCCAACGCGGGGCACTGGTAAGGCGGTGAGCGTCGTGCCGTTTCTGCCAAGGCCGTGAGAAGAGTGGGTACCTTCAATGCGGGTTGACGGCCTTAGTCATCATTCAAGGTGGACAGCTCACCTCAATCGGGAGCTCTGGATGGACACCGAACATCGCAGTGAGATAGCTCCCTTGGCCTTTTCAGGAGAGGTTGCACGCTCTCTTTCCTCAACACTTCATTAAACAGCAGACAGATTGTCATTTTCAGACTCGCCCGTCGTTCAAGTCTCATTTGGCGCATTCTCTCGATAATGGACTGCCCCTGGGGCCACTCGTGACAGAATGACGACCCAGCTCCTAGCTACGGAGCTAACGAACCTCATCCAAGAAAGCAAACGGAAGCACAATGACCTCCGACAAGTACATGACCCCGAACAAGACATGGCCGATGTGCAATGCTGATTTGTAACCATAAGGCTGCTGAAAAGTCACTCGATGAGTTGAAAAGCCTCAAGGGAGCCAACGAAGCTCAAGCTGCCAACGGTACTTTTCGCTGCCCTACGCGCGGCTTATGATTGTCCGTCGTGGCTGACCTTTGCCCACAGAACTCGCGCAGCGCCCCAACTTTGTTAACCCATTCATAATTGCATGTGGCACCAAAAATGCAAAGTTTACCGGAATCGCCATCGTCTGCCTCCAGAGGCTCATCGTCGCCCGCGCGCTTCCCAGGGGGAAGTTGAACCAGGTCCTCGAAGCCTTGAGAGAGGCCACCTCTGCAGGTCTCGATGTTCAACTCAAAATTCTCCAGGCCCTGCCTTCTCTCTTGCAAAACTATGCCACCGACCTCAAGGGCGACCTTCTCATCACTGCCTTGAACATTTGCTTCATTCTGCAGACCAGCAAGAATGCCATCGTCAACAACACATCGGCTGCCACTCTCCAGCAGTTGGTCGTCTCTGTTTTCGACAAGGTGGTTACCGAAGATAAAGCTGCGACTCCAGGAAGTCCCGCCGGAGAGGCCCCGACTGGCGATGGCGTGGTTGAGCTACGCGCAGCCGCCTTGGATGCCCACAGGGTAGGTTATTTGCTTCCACGACAACAGTTGGTCTTGCTGATCACCTCATAGATATTCAACGACCTCTGTCTCATGACTGAAAACCAACGTCCGGAGTACTTGAGATTCTCCGGCCTTCCTCAGACGTTTGGTCTAGAGCTGATAGAGTCGGTCCTAACCAACCACGCCGCAGTCTTTTCAACCCACAAAGAGCAGGCACACATCCTCCAGATCCGCGTAATGCCCTTCATTATCAGCGCTCTTAAAGGCAGACCAAATTTTGCCACATCTGTCCGCCTTGTTCGGATTCTTTACACACTATTGCGAAGACATATCAACATTCTCCCGGCAGCCAGTGGCGACGCCTTGGACATTTTGACGCATCTACTCGACCAGGACACCGCCGTGTGGAAGCGGGCCCTCTGCCTAGAGGTCTTTAGGGGCATTTTCGCCGAACACGCCCTTATCAGACGGATCTTTGTCAACTACGATGCCAAGGAAGGCGAGAAAAACATTGTCAAACACTTGACAGCGACGTTTGTGAGGCTCAGCACCGAGAAGCCATCTGTTATTGGATTGGGTCACCAGTCAACCATACCTGTGGCGAACCCCTATGCTAGCATCGCATCATCGACCGACCAGGCCATGTTGGAAGCCAGTGGCGTCACTGGTATCATCAGCGGATCTGTTGGTTCGGATGGTTCTAATATCGGAATCAGCACGCAGTGGAGCAATGTCAGAGTTCCGTGCATTGACCAACTGGACAAGACCGAGGCACCGTCTATCCCAGAGTCCTACATCTACAGTCTAACATTGTCCTGCATCTCATCGCTTTCTGAGGGCCTCGCAAAGTTCATTCTTCCCCTGACAGTACCCGGAGAAAGCCGAAGTCGCAAGAGAGGTGGAAAGCAGGAAGCAGGGCGCGACTCCCCGGCACCATCACAGGAGGATGCTGAAGGCCAACGCGGTGCATTGGAACGATCAGCCTCCTTCAAGAAGAATCCGGTTCCAATCAACCCACTTGTCTTGGAGGATCATCCGTTGCACAATGAGGTGAAGATCTGTGCAGCCATCATTGATGAATGCTGGCCAGCGATTCTTGCCACTTGCTCAACCTTCCTCTACGCTGCCATGGACTCCGAGTACTACCACAGTCTCGTCAGAGCGTTCCAAAAGTTCGCTCATGTAGCCGGACTGCTTCAGCTGTCGACTCCGAGAGATGCTTTTTTGACAACGCTTGGAAAGGCCGCCGTCCCTCCAAATGTCTTCACAGCATGCCTCAATGCCGGGACAGCTCGACCCACAACACCCACGCCAACTAACGAAGCTCCTAGCAGCATTTTCAGTAATGCTCGAGGGCTGCTTAGCGTTGACAGCTTAGCGACGCAGTCCACGCCGATCACCGAAAAAGGACGGCAGCAAAGCGTCGATGGAAGCCAGATGACTCTTAACACTCGAAACCTCCTTTGCTTGAGAGCCCTCTTGAACCTCGGAATCGCCCTCGGTCCGACCCTGGGCCCATCCTGGCGTATCATACTCGAGACCTTGCAGCAAGCTGATTTCGTTCTCTTTTCCACGAGTAAGACTCCTGGACGAACGCCTCTCGCCACGAAAGGGACAGATCATCAGGCAGAGGGCGAAGCAAGCGCTCTGTTGTCGAACTTTGCCTCTGAAGTAAGAGCTGTGGAGACAGCTGCCTCAAGACTTATTGAAAGCACGATTGACTTCCCCAATGATGCTTTTGGAGAGGTCGTGACGGCGATCTGTAACCTCCTAGAGAGAGCAAACGAAGAGAAGCAAAACGCCGAGACCGCAAGTCAGCCACAGTCTCCGCAATCCGGCAGTATAAAACCCCCGGGCCAACATCGCCGAGTGCTCAGCGTTTCTACGACTGCCGCCGCCGGACCAAACCAAGAAGACCACTTCGCCCTCGCCAAGCTAGGTGATATTGCCACAATCAACATTGACCGTCTCCTATCGTACCCACCTGATGTGTCAGGATGGACGCCGCTGACATCCGAGCTCATCCACATTCTTAACGCGTCTGCAATGAATGCCTCCGTAAGACTGCGCGCTGCAGATATTCTGGTTAGACTGGCTCTCGAGTCGGCTAATGTAGCGGCTACCATGGAACGCGATCAATGTGGGAAAGTGCAGCTTCTCCTCCTAGAGGCACTGCGAGACGCCCTCATGCCTTTGCAGCGGGATGACAGGGAGGTGACTGTGGCTAGCCATGGAACGGATGTCGAAATCCACAAGGTGGTGCTCGAAGGCTTGAAGAACCTGCTCGAAAATTGCGGCGAAACTCTTGTCAGCGGCTGGGAGATCGCCTTTGAAATCATCGGTTCCATCTTCATCGACAAGAAGTTCGCCCCTGGTGAGCGCCGGGGTTCTCAAACGGTTGTTCTCATGACACGATCAGCGAAGCTTGTCAGATCTTCGTTCAATTCTCTTCAACTTATCTGTTCTGACTTCCTAGCGTCCCTGCCCAATTCCTGCTTTCTCATACTTGTTGATACCCTATACAAATTCTGCTCGCAAGATGACGATCTCAACATTGCCCTTACGGTAGAGTAGTCCACGTCCTAACCTTTTTGACACTCAGCTAACAACTTGCAGACCGTAACGTTTTTCTGGGTACTCTCCGACTTCCTCTCTGGCAAGACGGAATCCCTGCCAATCACCGCCGATCTGATGCAGGGCTCGAGTATTTCGGATCTAGCTGCGCTTGCCGCAAACTCTGAGCACACGGCATCGGATGCTGCCCTGTGGATGCTTCTGCTCCTCAGGCTCACGACCGTCACTGCCGATGAGAGGCTTGAGCTTCGAAACAGCGCAATTCAGACACTGCTCAGGATCTTTGACGCGTACGGCGACAAGCTCAGCCCTGAGGCCTGGTCCATCTGCGTCAAGTCCGTGGTTTTCAAACTTCTGTCTTCGATCGAAGACGAGCTCCAGGCTGCTGCCAGTGAAAACTCAGCACACCGCGACCGTAAGGAATGGCACGAGACCGCGGTGGTGGTCTTGAACGGCATATCCGAACTCCTGGCCACATACATGGAGCCTCTCTCGACTCATTCCTCCTTCAACGGCCTCTGGCAGGAACTTCTGGGCCACTTCACAACTTTGCTCGACTTCAAGGTTCTCAACATCAACACGGCCACCTACAAGGCTCTTGGGAAGGCCATCAAGTTCGAGGAAGAACCGGGCAGGCCGATCTTTGACACGGATACGGTCAATGCCGCGTGGGAAATGTGGTCCCGGGGAACACCAACCTCCCTCGACGAGGACGATGGAAAGAAGGCTGACAACCAGAACTGCTTGATAGCCTACGTCGCCGCCTTCCATGACGTCTATCAGCTGGTCCAGCAGGACCTGACGGTTGACCGAGTGCGCCAGATGCTCACCCTCTTCCGCGAGGCCCTGCAACAAGCCACTGTCGGAGCCTATGTCAACGACGTTGAGTACGTCACGCCACTACAGAACCAGGTCCTCGAAGCCATCAAGATGGTCCGAGCAGACCTCGCCGGCGTGCCCTCCGCAATGATCTCCCAGGTGGCAGAGTTCGTCCGCTTAGCATTCTCAGATGAAGCTCTCAAGTCCCACGGCTCCACGAGGAGAACCTACATCGCAATGTCCAAGGCTAGCATGGCGATTCTGCAGACCCTCATTCTGAAGAACGCTTCCGACGCGGATATCTACTCCAGCGAAGCCTTCTCCGCCGCCCTCTCGGCCCTCTCCAAGCCCGTCATCCTGAAATACGGCTTCCCGATCGTCACAAAGTCAGCACAACCATGGCGCCTGTCCACAAACACAATCATCGCCGTCCTGGAAGCCACACTCCCGCAGATCCGTAATCTCGAAGTGCCTCGCGAGACCCTGCAGTCCATCTGGCAGATGATTGTCGAAATCGCAGACGGCATCGTCAGCGCAGACACAAACGTCGCCCCGCCGTCCGCCGACCTCGCCGACGACGAGTCGTTCGACATCACGTCCTTCCACAAACTCCGCGAGCTCATCATCCCCTCCCTCGGCGCCGAGGCAATCCCAGACACAACCCGCAAAGCCTACGCCGAATCCCTCTTCCGCACCACAATCATCCACGCCCCCTCTCCAGCGGAAGCAGCCCTCCTCTCCACAAGCGACGGCACCGGCCTTGCATCCCTCTACACCAAACGCAACGGCCGCACCATCGATCCCGCGCCCACCCGCCGCCAGCGCATCGCCTACGTCTGCCTCGTCGAGCTCTTCTCCCTCGTCTCCGTCTACAGCGAAGACTCCGTCCGCATCGTCGTCCAGCCGCCCACGCCGGCCTTCCCGCCACCCCGCTCCGTGCTCTCCGAGGCGCCCCAGGCCCTGCACATCCGCATCGCCCGCACCGCCGCCCCCTTCCTCATCCTCCGCACCGCGCTCACCATCCGCGCCTACATCGCCGACCAGCCCCTCCGCGGCCGCATGCCGCAGCCACTCTCCCAGCGCAAGGAGCTCCTCCGCGTCCTCCGGCAGCTCGTCGACCTCACCTCCACCTCGGACGCGATCCCCGACACCCCCAACGTCGAGAGCGACGGGAGGAAGCACCTGCTGCGCCTGTACCCGCTCCTCGTCAGCGCGGTGCAGGTGGCAGGCGGCTCGGGCGACGAGGCGGTCCTGAAGCTGTGCACCGAAGCCCTCGAGGTCGTAGGCGGCGAACTCGGGCTTTAAGGAAACATTGATTTTACGTTTTGCTTTTCGTGTACATTCAAGCCTAGATGACTAGACAGACATGCAGCCGGCACCTGATTGTAGATTATTATTCTCGAGACACATAAAATGGATTCTTTTGCTCGTTCCAACCTTGACTGAGCGCCAAGCCTTCAACGTAGTGATGCTCACCGAATGAATCCGTATGACCTGATGCCAAAGTCATTACAGCTCGCTGGCTTCCTGTCGCTTGCTGCTCAATATTCTGTTCCAACTTCCTCAGTCAACGTCCAAAACATCAACTCACATGAAAAAGCAAGTCCTACGCGCCCCTTACCACTGCATACAACCAAACTTCCCTCCTCCCTCCTCCAAGCCAAGACAACCCGCATGCCGAGGCCATACCTGCATAAGTAATATCCGTCCTCACATCCACCAAACAAACAAACACCCACCCCTCAGACCCAAACATGCCGTGTCCCTCGGCTCACAGACGGTTCACACACCACCTCTAACCATTTAATCAACTTCATCATGCCTCGTTGACCATCTCACAGCCTTACAACCGTCCTCAAACACCCCAAACCATAAACACAAAACATACAAACACCACCCAACCCCAAAACCCCGGGCACAAATCACCCCATCCGCCCGTCTTTCCCCCGCATCCTCCGTATGCACAAATAGCATGCAGCCAACCACATGCGTCGGAATCCTGCAGCGTCTCAATTGGACAAGCCCTTTCTTCTCCGGATGCACAAATCAGGCAGCGGAATCCCACACGGCCAGACGGCCCGCAACGCCCTTTGCCCTCCGCAGGACTCCCACATCAGTTGGGGGTGCCAGCCACGCCGGGAAAGAAGCAAGGTCCACCAACCCGCATGCTTCCTTGATCTTACCCCGTCCTCGTGTCCGCACGAGGGATGGAGGGAGCCTGCCTGTGCCGGCAGTAGTGCAGTGTACCCGATACAATCCGGGGATAGGGTTTAGTGCTGTAGTCTCGGGGAGAAACACTGTGGAACAACTCCCAAGGAAAGCTTGGGGTGTATTGGCTTTGCATGGCGTGGTGTTGGCGATTTCAGCTCAGAGGCGTGGGATGGGAAGAGTAACAGGTCAATTGATTGAACGGCTACTTGAAACGAGAGTAGGTGGTAAGGCATGCGCTTCGCGGAGCCTCGTCTAGCTGAAAGACGAAGCCCTCGTCGCGATGTCTCTGGTATCATGATCAACCCCCAACAGCCCGAGCCCCCGACCGGTGCAGGGCTCTTATTACATCCACTACCAGGCTAACGAATCCAAGCGTGATTACAAATTGACACAAGAAAGAAGTCATTTTTTTGAATTTTCTGAGTAGCTCGCAGCAGAGGATATCTCAGGCAGCAGTCTTCTCGCTGTGCGCAGCGCGAAGGTTGATGTCCTCCTCGTGGTCGTTGGCATGGATCTCCTTCTCGACCTGGTGCAGGTCGACATGCGCAACAGCCGCGTCGCCGTCGAAGATCTTGGAGATCTCCTCGAGAGTTGGGCCCTTGGTCTCGACGTAGAAGAAGTAGACAAAGACGAGCTCGCAGAAGTCCCAGAGGGTGTAGAACAACATGAAGTTCCAGTGGTTGGGAAGGTCGTCCCACGCGATCTTGTTGGTTTGGCTAGGACGATATCAGTGGAGGACGCAGAATAGATTTTGGACGGTTCAACGTACTTGCCAATGGCCAAAATGGCCTGGACGGTAATATTCATGATCATCATACCCTTGGCGCGAAGATGGAAAGGCAGAACCTCGAGGGCGTAGGCGATCAGTAGACCGGAGAAGCCAATGTCGTAGAAGATGCCAAAGACCCAGATGAAGACCAGCTGAGCATATCCGGAACCCTGGTTGGTGCCGCCAGAGTTCTCGTAGACGGCACCGGTGATGGTCCAGCAGACGAAGGAGCCGACCATACCGCTGATGGCGACCAGGAATAGAGGACGGCGGCCAAAGTAGTCGACAGTCAAGGCGGCGCCGATGGAGCAGGAGAGATCAAGAATCGACTTGCCGGTGGAGATGGCGAGCTTCTGGTTCTGTTCTGTGATGCCGGCACCTTCGTAGATGGCGTCCATGTAGTTGGAGAAGAGAGCGTTGCCAGAGTACTGTGAGATGATACCCAGAGAGATAATGATGGCCAATCTCCATCGGTTGCCCTTGGTCTTGAGAAAGTCGACGTAGCTAGTCGTACGGTCGGCGTTCCTCTCCATCAAAATGGTCTCCTTCATCTCGCGGAATTCAAACTGAACAGTCGCGTTGTTGTAGTCACCACCTGCGTGGTGCTTCGCCAAGACGGCCAGGGCTTCCTCGGAGCGGTCCTTGTTGATGAGGTAACGAGGCGACTCTGGAACGAACCAGATGCCGATGAGTTGGATAACTGATGGAACGATTTGGATGAAAGTAATCGATCTCCAGCACCTTTTTATTCACTTGTTAGCATGTACAGATCAATGAAGATGGTTGTGTGAAGCTGATCAGTATTCAGGGGCTGGGTAAGTATGAATCCATAACATACCAGTCATTGTTGACGTATGAAGTTCCCCAGCCGATACTCGCGACGATCAGGGCACCCAAGTTCCACAAGCAGTTGTAAATGGCAGTGACTGGACCACGGTGTTGAGGGTGGCAGATCTCTGTAAGCAGGAGGGGAGATGACATCTGAGCCAGTGAGTTGCCGAAACCGAGGATAAATCGACCGCCAATGTACACTGGAATCGTGAGTTAGTGCCGTATTCATCGAAGATAGTGTGATTATGAGTTAACTCACTTCCCCAGCCGTTGCAGAAAGCAGTGATGCAACCACCGACAATCATAAAGATACAGCCGCTGATGATGGCTACCTTACGTCCAAAACCGTCGGCTACATAGGGAGTGATGAAGAAGGAGATGATGGAACCGATGTTGAACATGTTGATAAGGATTCCGAGCTTGTTGTTGTCGGAGACGCCATCGCCGAAGTAGTCCTTCCACCGCTGCATCTGCTGGGATGTGTTGACGAGCATACCATCGTAACCGGTGGTGGCCGAGGCGACCATGAGGAAGATTGTCGAGAAGTAGAGCTTGCGAAGGTGAGGCTCCTTCAGCCAGTAGACCTTTTCGAATCGCGGAGCCTCAGCTCGCGCGATCTCAACGTTGTCAGCAACCTGCTGAGAGGCGACGACCTTCTTCACCATGATGGCGGTATTCTTGGGTGCGTTCCAAAGAGCAGGAAAGAACTTGAAAGATGTTAGAGAAGGGTTGAAGTTGATTGACCGACTCGCGGGTGAGGAAAGAGAGCGGAAGTGATCGTGAAGGAGGGCAGGGTCACAAACTTATGTCTTTCCCATCTCCAACTACGCCCTGAGCACCCATGCGGGAGCAGCACTTTTTTCTTTTCACCCGCGTTGCTGACCCCGGAGCTGCCTTACTCACCCCATTGGAACATGTGCACCCCCCATGAAGGGGAAGTCTGGGGGAGGGCGGGGATGACCAGAACAGGGGTTCGCGGCGGCCGGCACGAATTGGCGACATGCGGGTAAAAATGGGCAGAGTGATGGGACATTTTCTTCCCCAGGAGACACCGAGCTCGGAGCGATTCTAGTTCTCGTGCGTGGTGGGCGGGCGTGTTGCCCCTTCTCCGTCTAGCCCTTCGGGAAAGGCCATGCAAATGGCAGATCTCTCATGAGATAGGTCCAGACATGCAGCCGGCGGATTGGTGGGTGCGGCACAGAAGCATACCCTCCAGGTCCGGAACGGACGCCGACAAGGATTTGGCTCCCCTGCATCCTTGATTCGTGGGTTGAGCCTTTTCATGTTGGAAAAAAAGTGCCCAATGTACCATCTATGTGGCACGGAAGCTGGTAGCTTGCATCCCAGCATGCGGAATGGTCATTTGAGAAGTTTCGTCTCCGCTCCATTTCTGTGGAAATGCGACCTTCTCGCACCGACTTCAACGGCGCCCTGGGACTATCTTGTGGCCGGTGCCGTGGCTTGTAGAATGTTGTCAGCTTGTGCTTTGGCATAGGCAGCTTCCTGATCCAAATCGGAGCACCTTAGATTTGTGTTCTCTAAGGACATATTCGAACGCGGCCCTCATGAAGAGCCTGAGTTGTTGTTGGTGCCGCATCTCCGGTCCGCCGGCTCATCCTTCGAGGCTAGGCAACAACTCTGTCGTGCTATCCAACTATGTCTTTGTAAATTGAAAATAGAAGTCTGCTATGCTTCTTGCCCTGTACGTCGCCCGGCAGACCGGTAGTGACACCGCTGCAGTGTAGCGTCGCGCGTCAGTAGGTCTAGCGCATCATCAGGTGTTGGCCAATGAGTATTTGACCTTGATCAAACAGGTTGAACATCATGAGATCCGTGACTACTAGTCATTTCTCAATCTTTGGCGAGTGCGACCACTGGCCTAGACTAAGGCGAGAAGGCTGGGATGAACGCATGGCCATGCTGCAGGATGCCTGACAACCTAACATGAGTAAGCTTCTACCAAGATATGTGCCGTTGAGGACCAAGCGAACTTATGCATGAAAAGAATGAGGAGCTAGCGTACCAGATGATTGTCCAACAGCCCTGCCTGGCCTCTGGCGAAGTGCGGTTTAGGTGTCAAGCTGATCTGGGGAGCATGTGGCTTCACGAGTAGGCCCGTCCGGGAGAAAAGGCCGGGAAAAGGCAAAGACATTTAACCATGTAAACTCCATTGGTTGGGACGTCATGGAGGGATCGATTGTTGGAAGCGAGAGTGTGTCGAGACGGCGTGGGATAGAGTTGGGGTCCTTTGGTTCGAAACGTGGAGCCTGGGGAAGAGCTCCAAGACAGCTGCGTGCTGCATTATGCTCGTTGGTGGACTTCGGTTACGAGAGACCAGCTGTGGCAGTCGATGAAGCGGGTGAAAGTCGAGATGGTGGTGGGCTAAGCTTAATGACTGGATTCGCCTGGGTCCGGCCATGCGGGTGGGAGGCGCATGGCGCTTTAGCGAGACTGCTAGAAATCCGGACCCTTGACCGACCAGTCACCTCGTCAACGGCTTTTCTCTCCTCAAGTCAGTTTCGATGTGAGCAGCGACAAGGTAAGTTGTTGGCGAAGCCTTCTCGACTTAGGCCATGGAGCAATTTTCGGTACCGAACGTGAGTATGGTTGATGGTACGATCGATAGTTAGCACGACGCTATGAATGGAAATGAGAGGGCGAAGATGTGCTGCAACCTTCCGAGGCTTGCGGTGTGGTTGGTTTCCTAAGCGCCTTTCGATTCTGTGGGTTGAAGTCCGACTTGATTCAGCTCACTTAGCTTTTCCCTTTGCCGCCGATCCACCCCGAAATGGCTTCATGAATCATTGACCCATCTAGGTAACAGTTCACCTTGGATCTTTGCACCATGTTTCCAATACTTTCCAGTAACAGTGCCGCCTCCTTGGTGCCACATCACCGGACCCCAGATGCATTCCGACACGAGACAGAGGATGCCGTGACAAACTCCAGACCAGTGCCGTCCAGCCACGCGAAATCATCTGAGCCAGATTTGATATGGAACGACTGAGTCGGTCAATAGAGCGCCTCTTCGGAATACAGGCCCGACAATGCTCTCCCGTCTGACAGGTGCTCTAGCCCCGATCTAGGCTAGCCTGGCCAGGGTCGTGATGTGCCTGAGACGCCTGAAAACCATCTCGTTGCTTCAGCTCCTCGTGAGATTCAGGCTGGAGCCGAGAATCGAGTTGTGTGTGGCATCTTTGACCAATGTTCTGCCCACCGGCTGTGTTCCGTCATCACGATAGCTCATGGGGGACCCCGAGAACTTCGCGTTTGTTGAATGTTTAGGCATTTATGCCTTCACAGCAAAATTCGCGAAGACGGGAGAATGGTGGCTCGGACCAGCGCAAAGAAGCCCGTCCTGATCTCCGTATCCGCCGTATGTTTATGGACAGTTCATAACTGACCAACCGGGGAAGATCAAGTTCCTTCATGTTCTGCACACCAAGCTCGATAATCTGGCCCAACTGGGCGTTGCTCGCATATCCATCGTGATTGGCATTAATTGCTTGACACACGCAAGCACTCCCCAGCGCTGGGCCAAGTCGGTGCGATCCCCATGGGGAAAATCTGGGGAATCCCGCGTCGACACATCGTTCCATCGAATCATCGCCAGTGCCGGCTTGCCACTTAAAGCGCGATGGCGCCTTATGACCCCACCGAGAATGGCAGTGGACAGGGCATGACCCAACTCATCCAAATCTGGGGTAGAAGAAACGTGGACCCGTGGGCCCGCTGAATTGAGGTGGACGGAGGCCCCGGGGAGAAACGTCTTTTTGGACTGGCCGCGTTAGTGCGAACTGACGAGTCCCTGGGAGGAATAGACTCAACCCGACATCCAGGGAGGCCTTGCTGGATGGCAAACGGCACCCTGCCTTCCTTTCGTTGCCCTCGATGAGCCCTAGATTTCAAATATCCGCTTCCCTTGGGATGATGGCGTGTAAGTGGCTAATTAGCCGATGGAGGCATCGTTTTTACGCCGGGCGACGATAGCCATCCTTTCGGGCGGTCCCAGATCTGAGGGACTGGCGGGGAGCCGGGTAAAGTCGAGGTGTGGTACACCCCGAAGCCTGATGACCCCTTGAAATCTGCGTAAACAAAAGGGGCGGCGCGATAAGATGCCAGTGTCGAGGACTTCGTCCCAAGTTGATATCGGGGGCTGAAGTTTGCATGGTGTGCCGTGGTGATGATGGACCAAAGGATGCAGTGCATCGAAGGCGGCCAGACTGACACGAGAAAAGAAGGCACGATTGGAAGGAGCAGACCAAAGATCGATCAATGGCTGCCTCTTTGCCTTGGCGGCCTGTGCAAAAAGGTCCGACCTGATGTAAAAGAGGCTGTGGCACGGAAGGCACCACGGCACGTCTTTCCTTCTCCCTCCTTAATCCTCATCGCCAAGAGCTCAGCAGGCGCTGCCGAAGTGCAAAACTGCCTGGCCCAAGACGACGCGACTGGCCCTCTTCTCCTTCTTCTAGCTTGTCTGTCGACTTCCTTCGTTACAGCATACCTCTCTCACCTACCCCAGGAAGGGTTAATCGTATGCGAGTCCGTCTTGACACAACAGTCGGTATCGATTCCAAGCTATCTAGCTATCTACGTGCAATTTTTGGTATCTCGTTTACAATCGAAGGATTCGGTGCCTGCTGACCGGCGAACAAAGCAAAACTGTTCCGGTGATCCGAAAAACCATACGCCAACTGGGCCTTCCAGCCTCCCAAATGTTATCCACGGCCGATTTCCAGTCATCCGTCCGTATAGACCGTCTGCCATATTCACACATGTATCCATCCGAATCTTTCCATGTTCCTAAAAGCCCAACCCTGTTCAGAACGTTGATCCCAAGAAAAACGGGTTCTCTAACTTGATCAACAAAAATAAAAGACATTCCGTCTAAGCTCCGTCGACTTCCATGTCTTCGACGACAGACTCCTCGTACGGCTCGTAAGGCGTATCTTGCGAAGCTGGGCCAGAGACGACTTCCAACTCGTTGTTGGTGATGCTCTGCAAGGCCTTCTTGAACTTCTCGAGCTCGCCTCTCAGCCGCTCCCTCTTTCTGGCGGTGGCATCGTCCTCTTCCATCAAACGCGAGAAGACGGTTCCATCGTTGGCCCCTACTAGACCAAGTTGCCCCTCCAAGAAGAAGTCGAGCTGCTGGATGATCTTGGGCATCATACGAGACGTGACCGAGAGAGACACCGTGTCGGCGAAGCGAAGAGCAGAGAGTATGTAGTAGCCGCGAACATAAGCTGCGACCTTCAGTTCCTTATCGAAGGTATCCGCGCCCATCTTCGCGAGCTCGCTGGCATGCTTCTTCTCCTCCTGGGAACGCTGGTCAGGCGTCATCTCATCCCAGTCGTGGAATTTGGTAGCCTCTCCAGAGAACGCCTGCCAGCGCATAACATGGCGATAGCGTGTAAGCACTCGGAGCTCGGAGCGCTCGTACTCCTCAAAGGCCTTCTTGTTTACTGTGAAAAGTTGGAAAGTCTCCATGGCGTAAATGTCGTTGAGGAACTCCAGAGCCTCTGCACGGCGTTCCTCGAGGAACTGGGCCATGAGGTTCTTGGACTCCTTGAAGATCAGGCGTCTCTTCAACGATCCGAAAGCTTGGTCCAATGCGTAGTTAACGATGCTTTGCAGTCGGGTCATTGTCTCCTGCAGAAAGGTTGCCATAGGCTGATTCCAAGCCTTCACGGCCTGTTTGCACAAATCCTCGTAAACCTCATCGGGGACAATGCTGGGCCTGCCAGCTTTGGTCTTGGCTCTGATATCCTCGCTGATTTGGCGGAGAGTACGGAAGCCAGCACCACATCTGGCATACTGCTGGAACGCAGGGGCAAGCTGAGAAGGGGGGATGGGTCGTCGACGGGAGGGTGTCGACGGCGTAGAACCGCCGTCTTCAGTTTTGATAGCGGCGGAGAATGAACCACCGCCATTGACGCTGGGGCGAGGTCTCTTGGCGCTCGCATTGCCCTGTCCGTTGGCTCCGCGCTTCCTGTTGCTAGGTGTGACAGTGCTCGTCGAATCGTCCTCGTCGTCCGAGATCTCCAAGATAGGGACATCAGACTGATCTTTCAAGATGAACTTAGGCTTCATCTGCAAGACACAGTCCCGAAAAGCCTCAGATAGGCCTCCGTAGTTAGAAGAGAATTCTCTGCCGCGAAGAGTCTCCTTGACAATGCTCGAAAAGTTCATCAAACTCTTACGGACTTCTAGCTCGACGTTGCTAGGCAGTTCGGGAAGTGTGCTGAGCTCCGCTTCGATCTCGCGCACGCGAGTCACGACCTTCTGCTTGATCGATGGGAGGCTGTGCCGTGTTAGCATTGAAGTCGGAGCAGGGTAGAAAGATTGCTACTTACTTCTTGGCAAACTCCTTGCCCAACTTCTCAGAGAGGGCTGTCTTGAGCTTCTCAACACCGCATCTGTCGCGGAAGGGGTGAAACTCCTCAGGCCAACGTTCACTAGAGCCATTTTGAAAGTAAGCCTCTTCCCACTGCTGCTGCTCATCAAGCTTGCGGTCGGATGGGCGCGAAGTGATGAAGAATTCGTGGCCAATTCTGTGGCGCTCTCCGCTCAACATGGATAGCCATTGGGCGTAGTTGCCCTCGGGGAGTAGGTCCGCCTTAGTCATCACACCAATGGTGCGTTGCTGGGCTCTGAGATCGCGAATGATTGAGAGAGTAGACGAGGTCTCGGGATCCACGTTCATTGGGACGGCCCAGATGATGAGGGCGCCTTCATGAGAGATGTACTCACGAGCCAAATTCTCTACGACAGAGACGAGATACTCTTCCTCCTCCCGTGCTGAGTTGCGGAAGATGCCCGGCATGTCGTAGAAAGAGAGATCGGGCAGGTCGGGACCCTTGATCTCGAGGGCTACTGTGTTGGGGCTGAACTTGGCAGCCGTTCTCTCCGCCTCCTCGTCCAGCAGACGTTGCTTGGTGATTGCGCCGGTGCCGGGAATATAGAGTTCGTGGTTCTGGTCATGGTTGAGGATGGCGATCTGGGCCCATCGGAGGACTGTGTCAATGTCGGATTGATCGTAAATAGTCATGAACTCCTTCACAACGCGAGGTTGCTTGACCCAAGGCGGGAAGGGGTTCTGAGAGGTGACGTCGGCCTTGGTAATCTCGTAGTCACCAGGGGGGCAGAAAGCGTAATCCTGTTGGAGTGATACACGGCACGACCACTCGGGACCGCCACGATCCATGGCCATGCTACGAGAAACGCGAATGTGGATAGGGCAGCGAGTGCAGACTCCGTCACTGCGAGGAAGGTTGAGACCAGCAAGTCCGGACATTAAGCTGCTCTTGCCAGCGGACTGGTCACCAACTAAGACGAGTTGGGGGAGAGCGACATCGTGAGAAACACCAATCTGCTGGAGTTCACCAAGAGTGTCATTGAAGACCTTGAGCTTTGCGCCAATGTCGCGGAAGGAGCCATCGAAGAACGAGGAGTCCATCTGGGTGCCTCCCAAAGGGCTTGCCATCTCGCGGTTCCTCACTTGCATCAGGACGGGTTCACTATCATCCACAGTGGGGTTCGTCATGGCAGTACGGACGGACCGGGTCGCCAAGCTCATAGGCGGTTTATTGGAGGGGGGAGCTGTGAAATGTCAGCATCTGAAAATAACGAAAGACGTTGTGAGGTAGATGGCTTACGAGCGTTGGATCTGGGAAACACTTGGGATGCATCCGCTGCTGATGAGTAGGTGCTCGGAGGAGCCTGGCTTCTCTGCTGCTGAACGGGAGATCCGCTCAAAGTGGCAGTCGGCGACACCGATGCATGGAATCCCGGCTCTGCCTTGATACCTCTCTTTGACTTCGTCATGTTGGGCGAAGCTTAAGTGAGATATGTGTGTCGAGAAGTGTTGGTGGTGATGAAGGTGGGTATGAGAAGAAATTAGGAGAAGGTGCGACTGAGAGAGGTGGGAGATTTTCAAAAGAGTGAAGAGAAGGTGGAAGAACGTGTAGGTCTAAACAGGCAACGACGAAAAAGAGGAGAGAAAGGGCGTGAGGCAAGGCAGACGGTTAAACGGTAGTTGCAACCTGAAGCTCAAGAAGCTGGAGGAAGGAGCTCGGGGAGCAGAGCTTTAAGAGCTCTTTCCTCGTCTGCGTCGGCCAGAGCAACGTGAGGTCCCACGCTCCAGTGATGCTCATTAAAGTGCTTGTGAGCGTTAGGCGTGACTTTGAAAGTGGTGTTGCTTAGTCGTCACTTTCTCATCAGAAACGGTCGAAAACAAATAAAAACTCCTCAAGCAGTATCTCAAGATCTATTTAGTCGATTGACAGAGTTTTAGACATATCTACGGCAAGGACACTGGTCATATGTGGTGATGTGCATTGTAGTCTCTTGTACTCGGTAGCAGGAAATATTGCGGGCTGGAGTAGACGAGGTGCATCGTTGGAGTTTTATCGAGCAGGGGTTTAAAGGAGCTCAGGGATGGCTCGAGTGGCCAGCAGTGGAGCTTGGCCGTGACGATCCCCTGGAGAGACGCGATTTGGTACCTGGCAGAGCTCCCCAAAGCGCACCGCAATCTGCCAAAATTTGCGGGCGAGATGTGAGGCCTCACCTGGTCAACGAGGTCACTCCGGTTGCTTTCCAGGCACTTCCTGTCGCGTCTACCACAGGCAAACACGCTCGGACGCGCTCTTTTCTCTACGCGTAAAGTGCCCGGATCTCCAAAATTCTCGAAGAGGTTGGAGGAGGTTGCCTGACTTACACCAGACTTGCTGCCTCTGCAAAGAATGATACACCCGACTTCAATCCAATGCTCCAAGTTATGCTGCTGGGTAGTTATGCATCTGAATAAATGTATATCTTTTTGATCTGGTCTTACTGATTATCCTAAGAATAAAAAATCAAAGAGAACAGATATACCATTAATAACAGCTGCAGCCCAAGACCTCAAAAAAGAAAGGAAAACGCATGGTGAATCCCAAGGGACACGAATGAGATGCTGAGCTCATCGCATGTGGTCCCTGCTCCTGTGCAAGTTGTGCAGCTGCTGAGGCTTGCTCAGTGAGCAGTTAAGACCCCACCCTAAACCACGGTCCACCCCCCACGACGGTCCACCGCGTTTTTCACGTTTCTACATCCTACACTATATAACTTGAGATTTATATAATATACTATTCTACTATAATAATATAAAATAAATATTTTTAAAAAATATTAGTATACTTATAATAGTTAGTTATACCAATATAGATATTAATTTAGCTATTACATTAATTCTAAAAGGGAATTCTATCTATTTAGTAATAAAATACTATATGATACTTATATTAAGCTTTTAATATTAGATTAATAGTATTACTATTATATAGGAGTTAAAAGAAGCTTTATAGAGGTTTAATAAGTATTAAGAGATATACTTAGTATTATAGATCTTTATTGAGAGCTAATTAAGCTTTATATTAAGTTATTAATAGGTTTAAAACTTCATTAGCTATATTTTTTAAGTTAATAGTAATATATAGCTACTTAAGAAGAAGTAGCTAGAGGGTTTCTTATACTATGACCTATTTATTAAAACGCTTAAATCTTAGAAAATTAATACTTAATGTATTAAAATAGTAAATAAAGAAGTAATAAGAGAGCTTTTTAAGATTTTTACCTTTCTAGCTATTAAGAAGATCTTTATATTTTTCTAATAGAATATAAATAAAATAGGAATTATTAAGAGAAAGTAAAGAGATAAATTAATATTAAGATACTTTAAGAAGCTTTTAATTTTTATTTAAAGCTTAGAAGATTATATTTAGATATTAATTATTAAGTATATCTCTATAACTAGCTAGTATTTTAACTTATTTATAATATTTAAAAATAAGATTATTTAATAATAGTAATTCTTAGAGAACTTATCTAAATTTAAAATATAGTAATTTATATTATTTAAGAACGCTTAAATATTAAATAATATCAATATTAAGTAGTTAGAATATATCTTTATCTCCTTGATATAAATAGAGGTTATTAAACTTTAATGAAAATATTTTCTTATTATTAATAGCTATAAAAGCTATATATTTAATAATTTTATATAGAAATACTTCTTTAAGAATATTTATTTAGTCTACTCATTAATATATTCCTTATATTTTATATAACTACTTAATATATTAGTATTTTTACTTTTTAAGAAAGCTTATTAGATAAAGCTTATTTAATATAACTTTAAGCTCAACTCTATACTAATAAAATATACTAATTTCCTCTACTACTATTTATATACTTAGTAAGTAGTACTTAATATATACATTATTAAACTTAAGTAGCTAATAATAGAGATATAACTAACTAATATAGAGAAACCTCTAACTAGAGAATAAGTTTCTATATTATTTGGTAGAGATAGATATCTTATAAACCCCTCTATAATATAAAAAAACTATAGAAGTATAAAGAATACTTTAATAAATTAATATAGTTACTCTTAAGAAATTAAGAAATATATTAAAGTTATAATAGCTATAAAATAAGCGCTATAAATATAATATTACTTAAAGTAACTTTATAGTTTATAAATTATTTATATAGAAGATTAATAAGTAGTTAGATTTTAATAATATAACTATTATAGATAACTAATAGATAATCTAATTATTATAAACTTAAGTTAAATATCTAAAGCTCTTTCAGAAAACTAAAGTTAAGTTAGATTAAAATATAAGGTTTATAAACTATAAAGCTATATAGAAAGTAAAATAAGATATTAAAAATTATCCTAAAAAGGTAAAAAAAAAAGTACTAATTAAAAACTAAGCTTTTAATAAATATATATATAAAGGATTATATATAGAAGTTATAAATTAATAGAGTTATACTACAATATAATAATAGGTTACTATTAACATAGCGCTCACAATGCATTTTTTAATATGGACCGTCGTGGGGGCTGGACCGTGGTTTGGGGTGGGTCTTACCTCTTATCGCCAGCTTATCGCCTTTGTCCAGACAGTGAGGGACTTTGCCGCCACAACCCGGCCTTGCACAAGCCACCAGACCCCTGCCAGACATGCATCGCCTGTAAATTATTCTGAGTCCAGACCACCAGACCAACCAGCCAGCAGTGTGGTGCAGCTCAGGTGGACGTCAAGGCCGACTTCTCAGGGGGGGCTGTTCGAAATCAATCCCACGAAGCGGTGACGTTGCAAATTGGCGATTCTGCTCTCTACTTCCCACCTTCCGACCTACCATCACCACCCTCAAACCTCCTTCGTCCAGTCGCAACCATGTCGCTGCAGGTTCCCTACCGAGGAAAGGCGTCCCAAGAGGGCGCAACCAAGGCCGTCATCCTGGTATGAGCAACCCTTTTTCGCATTCATCCTCTGAATCTGCGGCGCAACCATCTCCAACTCCCCCGCCTCGGTCCAGGGTCGCTCCCCTCCCCTCCTCCCCTCGTGTTCCCGTGCCCAAACCACAACAACAAAAGCTTTTCTGCAAACGGAACAGTTGCAGGCTAACCATGACTCTTCAAAACTCCAGGTTGGCGGTCCTTCCAGAGGAACTCGATTCCGCCCCCTCTCCCTCGACGTCCCCAAGCCCCTCTTCGAAGTCGCCGGCCACCCCATTATCTGGCACTGCCTGACGGCCATCGAGCGCGTTCCCGGCAAGGAGATCACCGAGGTCCTCATCATCGGCTACTACGAGGAGTCCGTCTTCCGCGACTTCATCAAGGACGCCACCAATGAGTTCCCCAACCTCTCCATCAAGTACCTGCGCGAGTACGAGGCCTTGGGCACCGCCGGCGGTCTCTACCACTTCCGCGATGCCATCCTCAAGGGCCGCCCCGAGCGCCTCTTCGTCCTGAACGCCGACGTCTGCTGCTCTTTCCCTCTCCACGAGATGCTGCAGCTCTTCCACGACAAGAGCGCCGAGGCCATCATTCTCGGCACCCGCGTCTCCAACGATGCTGCCACCAACTTCGGTTGCATCGTGAGCGACGCCCACACCCGCCGCGTCCTTCACTACGTCGAGAAGCCCGAGTCGCAAATCAGTAACCTGATCAACTGCGGTGTCTACCTCTTCTCCACCGACGCCATCTTCCCCTCCATCAAGACCGCCATCAAGCGCCGTACCGACCGTCCCTCCCGCCTCGTCTCCTACCCGAGCTCCGAGAACCTCGAGAACAGCTTCATCCTCAACGATGACGACGAGGAGCGCAAGAACGAGGTTATCCGCCTCGAGCAGGACATCCTCGGTGACCTCGCCGACACCAAGCACTTCTTCGTATACGAGACCAAGGACTTCTGGCGCCAGATCAAGACCGCCGGCTCCGCCGTCCCAGCCAACGCCCTGTACCTGCAGAAGGCCTGGCAGAGCGGCTCCAAGGAGCTCGCCGAGCCGAGCGCCAACATCATCGCTCCCGTCTTCATCCACCCCACCGCCCACGTCGACCCCACCGCCAAGCTGGGCCCCAACGTCTCCATCGGCCCCCGTGTCCACGTCGGCCCGGGTGCTCGCATCAAGGAATCCATCGTTCTCGAGGACTCGGAGATCAAGCACGACGCTTGCGTTCTGTACTCAATCATCGGCTGGGGCAGCCGCGTCGGCGCCTGGGCCCGTGTCGAGGGTACCCCCACGCCCGTCGGCAGCCACACGACGAGCATCATCAAGAACGGCGTCAAGGTCCAGAGCATCACCATCCTCGGCAAGGACTGCGGTGTCGGCGATGAGGTGCGGGTGCAGAACTGCGTCTGCCTGCCGTTCAAGGAGTTGAAGAGGGTGAGTCTGCTACTTTCCTCTCCAGTCGCGCAACGAATGCTAACAACGATAGGATGTTGCAAACGAGGTCATCATGTAAACCGGAGTTTCGGGTATGTGTTGGATGCGTTAGGGGGATGGGACGACGTAATGATGAAGATAATTGCATCGGGGTCGGATAGAGCTCCCATCATTCTTCATAGATGCATGCGTCTTTGGTCACAAAAAGCAATCGAATTCAGCCATTTCAGATTCACCACCGTGCTTTTCGTTGGTATGTTCTCATCAAATTGTTCTTACTAAGATGAACGTGCCAGCCAAATCGTCGCCCGTCATGAACTTATACTCGATACGTGAAGGTCTAAATCTTCAGCCAGTTTCATACATCTCGAGTATATTCCAGTCTCTGGCCAAGGCTGACTGACCAACGCAGCCGGAGACGCGTACGAAATCGACCCAACGTCTTGACAAAGTCTTGACCCAGAACCGTCGTATGGTCCTTCATCTCTCGCCCATGCCGGTCCCGTACCATTGCCCTCCAAACCTCCAGAGCATCCAGACCAATAGTGAAGCCGTCTATGGTCGTCTCCAGCTCTAGTGCCGTGTGCACATCGCACACCTCGTAGCGCAGCACGGTCCCGATAGTCTCCCGCGCGTCCCAAAGCTCCATAAGCCTCAGCTGCGGCATCTGGGCAGCCGCTCCCCCAGCTGCGAGGAGCAACTCGTTCCCTAGCTGGGGTTCGAGCAGCCGTGGGGTCCTCAAGTTCATCGTCGTGAGAAACGGCCACGTTGTGAGGAATGGCCGTGTGCGAGGGTCGTACCTGCCCAGAGACGTGGCACCGAAGCCGCGAAGGAATTCTAACGCGTCGATGGGCGAGGACGCGCTGAAGGACTGTAGTTGGTTGCAGGCTGCGACAGCGTCGAGGGCTAGGCTGGAGTCTCTGCGGCACTGAGCCAATATGAGATCGTGCATGGAAGATTGCTGGAACCGACGGGGGGCGTCCCAAGCGGACGTAAGACGCGGGTCATCACCGGCCACGACGCCATCGTTCAAGTATTCCGCCCGCGCTTCCTGGAACGAAACGCTGCTCACCGTCTTCGGCAAGCGTCTGAGCAGGTGTCGAGTCGCCCGGTTACGCTCCCCTCTGTCTTTTGCCGTTATACCGCGCCAAGGCTCGTAAACTACCTCTCGCAGTCTCGGAAGACAACTGAAGATGGTATCTATCGCCTCTGCAGAGAGACTTCGACGCGACTCGCGGCTGACGATGAAATGTGTAACGACCGGTGCCTGGAGTTGGTCGAACCGCAAATCAGCGCCGCGGCTTCTGGGGTCGATGCTCGTGTCGATGTCGAGAAGGTTCCCGAGAAGCCGTCTCTTGGCTAGATGGACGCCTGGGCCGTGGTAGTTGCGTAAACGTATTCCCCAAGAAACCATACAGAGCCCCCGCTGTCTTGTTACCGGGGCGTCGTCCAGGATGTGCGCCGTATCGCTGGCTGAGGCGGCGCTGATCTCAAGCGTGAGCCCTTCGCCTGCAGGATGCCACTCGGCGAGTTTGTTCAGTAGAAGTAGAAGTCGTCCCGTGAAGGCTGTGTTGTTGGCTTTGATATTGCGATTGCCCTCTGGGCTATCGCAGTCTCTGCAGGTGTAGACCTGGAGGGGCACATGCAGTCTGATGCGCTTGACTTTCTCTCGGAGGTGATCGGTGACGTAGTCGGAGAACGTGTGAATATGTGTATAAGACCGAAGCATCAGACTCGAGAAGTTGCGATCCTCGAAGAAATGGCGCCAGTCCCAGCAGATGCTGGGCCAGGCCCTGCGCTCATTCTTGTCTGTTGGTGTGTTAGCCAACAGATCCAAAACCCTGAAGCGGATCTCCGTGGGCAGGTCGAACCAATTGTATGGACCCATGGTTGTTATGAGTTTGGCTACAGGGCTGATTGAGCAAATGCGAAGCTGTCGTGAACGGGTTTTTCTCAGACGCATGCAAGAGTGGAAGATGCGCAGCAATCCCAGTGACCAAATGGCAGACTTTGTATATGCTCTCGTCCAGAGTGGCGAGCATCCGCAAGGGTAGGCTGAAAATCTGACAGAGTTCATTAGCTCCAAAGGTGCGCAGCCTTTCTGGCTACGATTTCTGCCACAGGGCAGTGGCCTCACATAGTAGCAACAGGTCACTATAAGTGACTACCCCACTAGATATATAGAAGAATAAGTAACTTTAACTTTATATATATATACTTACGTATACCTCTAGTAAACTAGTAGTATAATAGGTTAATTAGGATAACTACTAAGTATTAATTTTTCTGTTATAGCTTTTATATTGTCACGGGCTAGAGCCCGGATTGATATCTCCGGCTTCGCCGGAGCAGTTACCGAGATCCGGCTCCGTTGGACCCACTATTCTGCCGCAGTACGCCGCCTTACCCGGCCTGCTTCACCGCTATTAGGTGCCTACCCTTGTAAAGTCCTTTCTTCCTTCTTCAGCTTAGAATAGTCAATCGACGGCACCTCTACGTTGAACAAGCCTAGGGGCCAGCCCCTTACAATATTATCTAGTTATTTATATAAACTATAATTTATAATACTTATAACGCTAAAATTAAAAACTTGTATACTTAACTAAAAGTAGTTTTTAAGGCTTCTAATAGTAATATATAAGTTTAGCTAGATAAAATTATAGATATAACTACCTTAGTATAGTTCTTTAATAAGATTAATAACTAAGAGAGTATTTTTATATAGATAGCTATAGATTGCTACTTATAGTAATAATAATAACTACTTCTAGTACTAACTATAACGTGGTTTACCAGTCAGCGGCGAATATCAGTCAGCGGCGAGCTTTTTCCCAAACGCGGTCGGCACCCAACCACTTAAACCTTTGACGCGTAACAACTCCACGACCACAATGCCGGTTTACACACAAGAAGAGAAAA